GTGGTGGGAGGGGTGGTGTTTTTTTTTTGGTGGTGGGGGGGGGGGGGGGGGGGGGGGGGGGGGGGGGCAGCGAAAAAGTGACCTGCCCAAGGGTCGCAGATTTAACAAAAGGAGCAGGTTAGATCTCAGGTCTATTTCAAAGCTGCTACTGGATTATGCTAAGACAGGAGCAAAGGACACATGTTGCCTAGCCGGAACCTGGGTCGTCCTCAATTTGCCCCCTCACTGACACCCCGAGGGATGCTCTCCCGCCAGCAGCTCCCTGTGTGGGCATCCTCCTCTCCATCTCCCTAGAAGAGACAGACCTGCCTGCTCCACCTCTCCTTCCAAATCCTGGGATGGGGGAGGAGTGGAGTGTAGAGCATCCAGCCAATGACATGGCGATATGCAAATAGGCAAGACCCTGCCTTCTTAGGATTGGCTGATGCCTCAGCGATATTGTCCAAGTCCCTCCTCTCTTAACACTAAAGCTATTCCGGGGTGGTTTTTGCTGCTCTGGAGACTGGAAAGGAAAAAGTCCGCGGGACCCAGATATCCGAATGGTCCTGACTTGGCACCCACCTTCCCAGTCCTTACTCCAGCCCCAAGACTCAAAGTTCCTGCACCCTTCGCTGCCTAGGTGTCTGCTCTAGCTAAGGCCAGTTCCGGAAAGATGTCCTCATTTCTTGGTTGACCAAGCCTCCCTCCCTTCCACCGGACCTTCCCCGGTTCCTGAGCTGCACATTTACTTGATCCTTGATCCCATATCCGCAAGGTCCAGGCGCCTGGGTCCCTCTCCTGCCTTTCCTCCTCTGCTCGGGGAGGAGGACATAGAGAAAGCCAAGGTCCTGACTCAGTTTCCCCTTTCCGTCCCTTTCCTGCCACTCCCGCCCACACTGAAGGAGCTCAGAGAGAAGTAGGTAGATGTGTGGGCAAAGTGGGGCGGGGAAAAGGCAGCCGTTTGACCCTGCTTATGACTTCCTACCTTGTCCCTCTCTTTTTCCCAAATCCAGTCCAACTCCCCTAAATCCAGAGCCCTCCTCGCGTGTTCTTTTCTTCGCATCTCTAACTACAGATCTTCCCCCGCTGTCTCCCCGGTAGCTTTTGCCTATCCACCCACCCGTTCCTTGGTGACCTGGATTGAGCGCATAACCTGGGAGGGAGCTGGAGTGTAGGACACGGGAGGAGGAAATACAATAGAATGTGCGGGGGTTTCGAGCAGATTGGAGCCGCCTGAGTGGTGGTGGAGAAGTGCCTCGGGTGGAGGCCGGCAGGAGAGCGGTACGCACCTCCCCCGCACCGCCCCAGCGCGCAGGTAGAGCCGGGCGGCAGCGGGACCGCGGTTCGGAGCAATCCGT